GTGCTAAACGAGCGACAAAGCCGAAAAAATAGACTCGGCTCCTCGCCGTATGGTAGCGGCGTAAAATCTACCACCACCCCTTGTTCGCACCATGACTCAGAAAATAAAAGAAAAGGCCCCGAGTTCCCGGCGCCCCTTCAATGGGGTAGGGGTGCGAAGAATCTCCGGGAGAAAAACCGGCGACGAGGTTCGCCACCCGTCACGTTCTGTCTCCCGGAGGGGCGAAAATTGGATTGCGGAAACCCGTCTGGCTACGCTGAATGTATGTGGAGGAATGAATGACAAGATGGATGAAGTATGCGAAATGATGAATGACAGAGGAATAGATGTGTTATGTGTGAATGAGACGAAACGAAAGGGAAAGGATTCAACTGCACATGGCACGTATACCGCGTATTGGTCTGGTGTAGACGAGACCGAACGGGCATACCAGGGAATCGGTTTCATCCTTTCAGAAAGAATGGGTCAATGTGTGAAAGAGTATGAATGTGTAAGCCCGAGGCTGCTATGGATACGAATGAAAGTGGGCTTAAAGAAGCTGTTCCTGCTAGGGGTGTACGCCCCAGACATGTCTAAGCCCACTTACATCCGAGAGCAGTTTTGGGACATGGTAAGGATGGTGTTGACAAAATGTAAGGAAAATGAAAATATTATTATGTTAGGAGACTTTAATGGAAGGGTTGGGGTGAAGAGGTCTGGTTATGAAAGGATATTGGGAACGTTTGGTGATGAAAGTATAAATGAGAATGGTGAAGACCTCCTCACCGTATGTGTGGAAAAGAATCTTTTTGTGACGAATACTTTTTTTCGTCATAAGAAGATTCACATGTATACATGGGAAAGAGGTGATGATAGAAGCATGAGAGATTTCGTAATTGTGGATGAAAGAATGAGGAGCGCAGTCGTAGATACAAGGGTTTACCGGGGGTCCAACGTAGGGACGGATCATAACTTGGTCTTATGTCGAATTAATGGTCTTTTCAAGCGTTGGCGGCATCGGACATCTGTGTCTAGCACTGCGTTACAGCGTATAAGAATAGAGAAGTTACAAGATGAAGATGTGAAAGAGAAGTATAAATGCAGACTGAGAGGAAATATTAGATGTTCGAATGAGTTGTGTATGAATGATTTAGACTTGAATACTGTTTGGGATAATATTAAGAAAGGTTTGGTGGATGCCGCCACCGAAGTATGTGGCGTAAGTAAGAGAACAAATGAAAGGAAAAGTAATACGTTGTGGTGGGATGATGAGGTACGGGTGGAAGTTGAATCAAAGAAGAAAGCATGGTTAGATTTACTAGCAACCAAAGCTGGTAATTCTTCTGGTATGAATGATGAGATTGAAAGAAAAAAGGCAGAATTTAGACGTCTAAATAAGAGAGTAAAAGAAGTTGTTGAAAGGAAAAAGAAAGAAAGAACGGATAAGAATGATAAAAGGATATCTGATAATTTCCAGGCTAACATAAAAATGTTTTGGAAACTCGTAGGAACTGCCAGGGGAAATACAAAACAGCCTCTAATTAATGCTATAAGAGACGAGAATGGATGTATTCTGAATGATGAAGCTTCGAATTTAAACAGATGGAAGGAATACTTTGAAAGCGTGTTTATGAGTGAAGAGTCGTCTGAATTAAATGAACTAGAAATTCCGAAAGAAGTGGAAAGGGGTATGGAGATAAGTGTAGTCGAAATAATAAAAGCAATGAAAAGCATGAAAGCAGGTAAGGCAGCTGGATATGATAGAGTATCACTCGAGATGCTAAGGGCTGGAGAGGGACAACAAACAGGCCTGCTGTACACCTTGTTTAATTTATGTTGGGAATTAAAACGGGTACCGCATGACTGGTGGCAGTTATAGTACCAATATATAAAGGAAAAGGGTCACAGCAGGACTGCAAAAACTACCGTGGAATCAGCTTGCTTAGTATTGTGGGTAAACTGTATGCCACCTTAGCATACATACTTAATTGAAAGAGTTATGAAAGAAACTGATGGAAAAATTTGGGATGTGCAAGCGGGTTTTAGAAAGGGAATGGGGTGTACAGATCAAGTCTTTTCCATGCGCATGATTGCGGAGAAGTTTTTGGCCAAAAACCAGAAAGTTTTTTGTGCGTTCATGGACTTGGAAAAGGCTTATGACAGAGTGGACAGGAATGTGTTATGGCAAACACAGAACTCATATGGGTTGAGCGCTGGTTTGATACAGGCATTAAGGTCTCTTTATAGGGACTCTAGTGCTTGTGTCAGGATCAATGGGGTCTACTCGGACTGGTTTGGCATCCAAAAAGGTGTCAGACAGGGCTGTGTAGCTTCCCCTTGGCTGTTCAACCTATTTATGGACAGGTGTTTGCAAACTTTGAAAGATGAAGAATGTGGGTTAAGAATGGGCGAGTTAACCGTCAAATGCCTTTTGTATGCCGATGATCAAGTCATATTTGCGTCATCGGCGGCTGAGTTGCAAATGATGGTTACATTAATGAACTGGGAATTAAAAGAAAGGGGAATGAAAGTGAACGCAAGTAAGACGAAAGTGATGGTTTTTGAAAGAGAAGAAAGCAAAACGGTATGTGAAATAAGAATAGAAGGAGAGTTAATTGAGCAAGTGGATGAGTTTGTGTATTTGGGATGTGTATTTAGCAGGGATGGTAGATATGATAGGGATATAGAACGACGAGTAAATGCAGGGAATAGAGTGAATGGGGCACTACACTCTATTGTGATGAACCAGAATGTGTCAAAAAAGGCACGTATGGAATTCATAATGCTGTGTTAGTCCCTACTTTAATGTATGGTAGTGAAAGCTGGGTGTGGCAGAAGAAGCACGAAAGTAGAATAAATGCTGTAGAAATGCGGTCTTTAAGGAGTATGCTAGGGTTGAATCTGAATGACAGGGTGAGAAATTGCGTGATAAGAGATAAATGTGGTATGCAAGATGATGTTGTGACCAGGACTAAGAAAGGAATGCATCGGTGGTTTGGTCATGTAGAAAGAATGAATGAGGAAAGAGTGAAAAATCAAATTTATATGGCAGATGTGAACGGCCGAGTCGGGAAGGGACGTCCTAGAAAAAAGTTTATCGACCAAATTGGCGATATTTTGAAAAGGGGCCACGTTAGAAGTACCCTTAACCGACGAGCATGTATGCGTAGATATATGGATGTAAAGGAGGCGAAAGAGGTATGTCAGGATCGTGTCAAATGGAAGTCCGTAGTCTCTGCCTACCCCTCTGGGTGACAGGCGTGAGTGTTTATGTATTATGTATGTATATAATTATTTCTTAAAAAGTTCTTGTGTCATTTGATTCATTAATTATTTTAGGTTTTTATCAAGTTTTTATAATAATATAAATCATATTAACAGGCCGTGAAGCACTTAATCTTAATTCTTTCGGATTCCTTTGGTTTCAAATGTTCAATGTCCTAGGGCTGCAGTTACAATCCGGTGGAGTGTAAAGGAGATCCTTCAGTACTGTAATGTCAAAAATGTGTGAGATTTGATGTGCCCTTGCTATCTTTTTTCAATTTGCTCACAGATTGTAAATTGCGATATATAAAAAAAATTGCACAATGAATTAAGTAGGTACAATTACTTAAGCTTCGAATTAAATTGATTTGAAAAAGCCATAAATATTTAAGTGAGATGATGGTATATTTGGGTGCTTGTCTTAAAATAATTATACAAAATAAATTACTGTTATGTAAGTTTCCTGAATCTGCCGGACTAAGTAAATACATGGTTATTTTCCAACAGTAGCCAAATCTTAAGCTTAAGTTCATACATATATATAAATAATAATATACCGATACTGCAATTTTTGAAAATACGAGTAAAGAAGGCGTGTCTACTTTTACTTGAAATTATCACACATTAAATGTGATTTACGGGCAACAACGTTTTTGCCTACCGATCGACCCTTACGAACGTGTACTACGCACGCGCAGTAAAATCAGTTAAAATAATGAATTACCACGCATTTGGAATTTTTAATTAACTTTTCTTCACCATTTGCCTATATTACTTAAACCTGCTCAGGAAATTTGGCCGGTTATTGCACAATAGCCCTGTGTAACTCGTTTTGACTACATTATGCGAGAAACCGATATGAATAAGAAAATCTACACCTCATTGTTCTTCATGTTTAGTTCTGGATAGTAAATATTTTTAACGATTTCATTCGTTGTGCAGATCTACTTTGACCGTTATTCTCTCATTAGTGAACATTTGCTCCAGCAATTTCAAAGGAGATGCGCTAGCCTACTTCGTATAATAATTAATACCTTCAAACTCGTAAGAACTATAAACCAAGGCATGATTTAACGCAGGGTTTATACTTAATAGTAATAAATATAATTACAAATTTTCGACTGATTCTTTAATAACGGCCTATCAAAAGTTTACTACTGAAAATAAGCCTGCTCACAGATTGCTTCATAGGGGTGGGTGGGGGGGGGGGGATGGCGAAATACTTACCATGATTGGAAGGCGTGACACGGCGGCAGCAATTTTTTTTTATTAGGATTATGTTGTTATCAGAAAGATGCAGCTCATCTGTTTTATTCCCTTCTACCTTCTCTTACGGCACTCTACGGATATTATGGGATAGAAGTTGGTTTCTCTAACGGCAAAACTTAGACAATCCTAGCAAAAATATAATATCATACTATAGTACAAGTGAATAAACCTAGCCGAAGTACAGATATTAGCCAATGATCAATCAAATAATTGGCAATCAAAGAAATAAAAGCTATTTCAATGAAATTAGATACATAAAAAGTTGTGCCTTTTAATTCTCACAGTTGTGGATAGCGAACACTGCGATGGGCTGGGTCATTGCTTCTTGCGTACGGTACACGATTATAATAATTTTATCTGTGAATACAATGGACAAAAATTTACAACTGTTTTTTTATACAGATCGTCCACACCTGCGCATTGTTCAACGAGAATGTTTAAGATTGCCGTGATTGAAATATCGATTAGATATTGAAATATGTACTCACCATTCTATACTCCTGTATCCTTTGACACAGCAATGTATGCTCTTGAACTTGTCCTGGAATCCGTACTCGAAAGAGACTGGCTCCTTAGTAAACTGCATCCAGGTTGCATTGGTGGGAAATGTGTTGGTGGAACAGTAGCCGGCGGCAAGCGTCCGCGATGCGAAGCTCAACACCGCCAGCGTTAGAAGCAGCCACATTGTTTTTTATACTTGCATCCTGGCGAATAAAAGACAGACATAAATTCGGTTTTCCATAAACTATTCCATAAAATTGGATAACCGCGAAAAATAGGGCATCTTACGGTATCCGCAGGAAGGCGAAGAAATGTACTAATTTTCCGATGTCCAAAAGAAACAGTGCACGGAAATACATTAAAAAGTAGTAAGCTCACTTTTCTCATAAGTATTTCAAGCAACACACAAAAGATTAAGTTTAATCAATACAGTTTAACTGTTGTTCCTTCAGAAAATCGCAGTACTAACCTTGTAAGTGTGGAACTTAGGCAATTCCACAAATTACCTAATGATTTAGTATTTAACAACAATAGCAGGGTTATAATATTACAAGCATTTCTACGTTTTCGCACACCAATTCCAAAATGAAATTTAAGCCTTTTTTAAAGCATATTAATATAAATAATTTCTAAATAACTAAAATTCGTCAAAACGGCAAAATAACATCCTAAAACGAAACCTTAAAAGTACATATAATTATCTTTGATAATACATAAGATAAATTATACACGAACTTAATTTTTAAAAACCGGTTGAGTTTTGTTTAACAATATTGTTTTTATTTATATATAGCTTCATTTCTCCACTTCTCAAAATACTTACTATCGAAAAAATAGAAATATGCTACTGTATTAAGTGAGGAGTGTTACGAGATCAGGTGATCCAATTTATGGCTCAAAGTCGTATTCTCTTGTCCTCAAGAATGCTAAGCTCTTAATTTTTCATCGAGGGTATAATATGTAGTTCCACCCTTCCCTTACAGCTTATTAAAGTCGACTGATGAACATAGGCAACCCCCATAGTTTGCCTTATAAGGGGGATATTTGCCATAGTTGCCACGCTTGGCAAGCGTGTTGGCAACCGCAGTTTATTTATTTTTAGTCGTTATTAGGAAGATGCTGCTGCACATCTCCTGATTTGTCTCCCTCTGTCGCCTCTTACGACACCCACGGGATGATATGGAGTTGTGGATATTCTTACACCGCCACTGCACGGTACTGCAAGTGGTCAATAAGCAATAACTGGGGGTGTGTCATTAGTCTTTTTTTTTCACAAAACTCAAGATGTAGGGATTCTTTAGAAGATGAAATAATTTCTCTTCAGATCTCCATCTCGTATGTACCACACTAAACTTTAAAATAAGTCTTTTCCTAGAGATCGACCCGTTTAAATGGTATACCTACCGGTAAACAGCGACGGGAGCACTAATTGCGTTCGCATCAACCAAATTGAAATTTAAGATCTGGAAATTAATTAAATACAAACTGTTTATTCGCAACACATTATTCGTTGATACATGTACCTTACAGGTTTCAACGAATACAAACATTATTGTAATCTGCACCGATTTAATCTACCGATTGATGTTAAAACTGTTAAATTTAATTCTTTTTGTAGATTATTGGAAAACGAGATTGTGAAGTTGGGTGAATTCGTGTGAACGATTGATATTTTGATATGGAATAAACATTTATTGTGGAGCTAGCACTAAATGTCTAGATGGTGCAATGCTTGCGCATTGAAAACCATTCGCTTTCTCCTAGATCTATTTCAAACGATAAGGAGCAGAAAAGAGACAAGTGCCTTTCAAGCAGCTGAAAAATTTGATTCAATAATACTTCTTGAATCATATTTCCAATGCGCTGGGATTAAGGATTAATAAAATAGTTTAGATAAGGTGAAGCCGTATAATTTGCCGAATACTTTGACTTAAAGGAATAATTTGAATCAAAGTATTCGGTAAATGCTATTTTATATTTTTTTCCAAGTTCTATCGCGTTAATAATATTATCGATTAAACTGTTTAGTCTAGTTGTGCGCTTGTGACAACTTTATGACGATTACTGTTTGGTCGATGGTGCATCGATTCGATGCAGTCATTACCGATTTACAGTTATCACTATTTGGCGGTCGATTTGCAGCACTCAATTATACTTCATAATTACAACCATGATATATGAGAAAGTACTTGTGCCTTGCAGAATAAGTAAAATAGAAAAAGTAGGAATGTAATTTCAACGGCGCTAGAATACAACTTAAGAATAGCGGATAAACTGCGTAGTCGAGCGCATGCACCGCTTCCCGTCATGGTAATATATTGAGCTGTCTGGTTGACTGTTGTTCGACTGATTAATAGTAGACTTTTCACATACAACTAAACAATTATACGATTAATTTTAAATTGTGTGTATGCGTCTAGGCTTAATTGAACTGCTAGAAGTTCCTCGGATGACCATAACTTCTGTCACACAATAAAACGAATATCATTATTAAAGAAATGAACCAAATAGAGCCGTGGTAGCTCAGATGGTTAACGCTCGCTTTAAATATAATAAAACGCGAATAACTCGGGTTCAATCCCCGCCGGCACCAATGAAAAAAAAATGAATAAGGGAAAAAATATTTCGAAGACATGTGAAGTTCGCCAACATCATTGGGGCAGCACGGCGGACACATATTTGCCCTAAAACCCCCTCAGAAATGAGGGGAGGTCTGTGCTCAGCAATGGGACGTATATAGGCTGTAACTTTACTTTACTTTTATTAAAGAAATAGTACAATAATAATAAAAATTATGTGCTAATACGTAACTGAAGTGTCAGTATAAGGATATCCACCGCCCCATGTCGTCCCATTGATGTGGTAAGAGGCGACGGGGGGAAATTAAACAGGAGATTGGCAGTAGCATCTCTTTGTGATAACTCAAAATTGTTAAAACCCAAGGTGTGGCAACTGTGCTAAAAACTTCCCCATGAGTCAATCTACGAAGGAGGCCTATGTTCATCAGTGAATTTGTGATGGGCTGTAATATTGATGATGACGATGATAACTAAAATTCTCTATTCATCATCATGGTCTGCTCAAAAAGTTTAAAAAAATTGACGTTATACATAAGTTTTGTCACATTCATCATAATTAAGACTTATCCGATGGGAAAGACTACTAAGGTTATTGAGAATGGTGCTAAGTTCCTTTAGCGATTCCATATTGACTATATCGTCGGAGAATCGAAGGTTAGTTATGTTCTCGATATTGATGTTGTACCGTATTCTCTACCCGAGTAGGCACTAAACAATTGCAATTTGCAGTCCATCGGCTTCAGATATACTTGGTAGAGCCACGCTGCGGCTATATTATGGTCGTAGCACGAATGGGTCGGCTCGATCGGGGAAGGACTACGCTCGCACAGAATACCAGCGTAAAATAGCAGCTTAATACTGCCGTGTTTCGTACGGTGAGTGTAGAGAACCGGAGACCCTATTTACTGGAAACGAGGCATTCCATTCTCAGGGGTGACAACGCATCTGCGTTTTGATTCTTAATCGAGGATAAATGTAGATGTCTCTGGGCCACAGCATCCACTTACCATCAGGTGGACTGTGTGCTCGTTTGACCCCCTAATTCTAAAAAAAAGGTTGATACTGGACGAGCTTCCAATCTTTAGCTCTTATAAAGCCCGGAACATTGTTTTCGAGTTTGGTTTAAGTTGTTCGTGCCTTGTAATCAGGAACAGTTTTGTTATTCCATATGACACTAACATAAAAACCGGAGCCAATGTATAAAATATATATAATCATGATTTTATTCCTAACTTGTAATTTCTCAATCACCAAAATTCACGGAAAAAATCAAGACAAGAATTTTTGTTGTTGAGCTTTGTTATTGTATCATAATAAAAGCGGTGATTTGTGAATAAATATTATGTGAAAAGGCTAGGTGATAAAGAACTCACGGCACAATTCAATTCATTACTTCTGAGTATTTTAAACAATAACGGTAAATATGGTACTTACTCGAATTTGTCTGTTACCCGCTGTAGCATCACAGTAAGCTTAAGATTACAACACTTTGAATGCAACAAGCTCCTAATAACGGAAATAGGATTGTCTCTAGTCATGTTTATTATCCTATTTATTTTTCTGTCATCAAAAATTAAATATGTACCTAAATGAAATGGAATTATTAAAGTTATCAAATATTAAGATATACTTTAAAGTACACAGTTGTTATATATATTATTTGATTTAACGATCGCAGGGTCGATGACACTAACATTTTTATTTTTTTTATTAAATTTCATCCGGGTGCAATATTTTTTTGTGTATTGATGGCAGAATGATATACGAGTAGGAACTTGTGGACAAAAATGTGAATTATATGAAAAACATATATATTATATTTGCATTTTATAAACATGTATATAAAATGCAAATACAAAATGCAGAATACCTATTTTTGTTTTGTTTTCGAAATATTTTTTTTAATTTATCAAAGATGGAAAAGACTGATCCTAATCTATAATGTTTGTTGAGTAGTCCGATTCTTCAGCAGCCATTGATATGCCAATAATACAATATTTAAAGATATATATGTGTGTGTGTGTGTGTGTGTGTGTGTGTGTGTGTCTCTTGTGTATATATGTGTGTGTGTGTTAATATATATAAATTATGTGTCACGTTGTTTGTCCGCGATGGACTCCTACGGTACTTAACTGATTCAAATGTGCATACCGTGTGCAGTTTGGTCCAACTTGAGAGATAGGATAATTTTTTACCCATGAGTGACCCACTTTTTGTTTTGCGAATTTAAGGGTTTTTAATAGGACATGCCAAAGGGTCGTCGAAACGTTGTTTTTCTGCGATGAACTCCTAAACTACTGAATTGTAAATTTGCACACTGTGTGTGGTTTTTCCAACTTGAGATATAGGGTGGTTTTAACCCGGTAAGTAACTTTCAATTTTTTACTTGCGAATTGAAAGATTTTTTACAGGAAAGTAGTCGGAAAGGGCAGAACAACGTTTGCCTAACCAACTAGTATATATTCATATATAACAGGCTGCACTGAAATAAAAGGTGAAGAACCCTGATTCTGCACGGTATTCTATTTCAAACCAGTTCATTCACTGCATGTTCTATCAGGTTGTTATAAGGTGCATTACTGCTGACTAACGATTCTAGCTAAAGCGACGTTTACATACAATGG